CAAACTGGAAGGCTTTAACCGATATTGGCTCTTTGTACCAAAGAACAGAAGTGACGGACCTTGGGGTCTGAGTCCATGTTCTGCTCTGCATGGCTGCAAGAAAAAGGCCTGTTCTTCTGCCTTCAGGTGGCATGATAAGGGTAGAGTAGAACAAGGGTTTGGGGTGGGTGGGTGTTTGGGTTGTGTCCGTGTACCCCCACTCAGAGTCCTTAGTCAGATTTCCCATTATCTTAACTACGGAATTCACATCTTGTCATAGTGCTTTACTTCCTACTTCAAGCTCTACTTCCATGTTCAAATAAAACACTGATGTTAAGAATCTCAAGAAGTCTCTCTTAAAAGGTGACAGGTGAACTTAAACGTCAATAAGGCAATTAATCATTTGCAAAATCTAAGCCATACCTACATGATGGCAAACATGGAATTGGTAGTTACAAATCAGGAAAAATATTTGTGAATTGTTGCTGAGAATCGTCTGACAAAATTGGCTTAGTGTGCAGCAGCAGCCAAGCCAGACAAGAGAATGTTGGGCATTAATATGAAACACATTAAAAACAAAGTAGAGGCTTATATTGCCACTGTAAAACCTTGGTGCAGGGCTGATGTCTACACCTCACAGTGGCTGTGGAGAGTTTAAAGAAGGTCTGCAAGGAAGTTAATGGGCAACTAAAATGATCAGTGCTCCTGAGCACTGCCTGTTCTTGAGACGCTAAAAAAAGCTTGGGACTTACCTGTTTGAGAGAGAAGGCTGAGGGAGGGGTTATGATGTAGGTTTCAGAATCATGATTCTGGAACTGCTTTTCGCCACTTGTTCCTGCATTACTAGAATTTGGGGACAATTCTTGAGACAAGTGGGAGATTTGTTTAACACAAAGAAATTTCTGGAACTTACTGCCACAGTAAGCTGTGGAGGAACATGGTAAATTAAAAAAAGTAATCATCAGTCATGGACAACAGGTCTATAAATGGATGCTGAAACAGCTAGGAAGCGATGCACTCTTTCTCTGCAACAACAGTTTCTGGACCAGTGAGTGGGGTGTTTGGGATATGAAGGGAATGGCTTGCAAAAATTGGTCATATTCATGTACCTTTTCTTAAAAACAAACCAACATGAAAATCCTATTGCCACCATACGAGACAGAATATTAGGCTGATGGACCATTGCCTGGAGCTACTAGGACACTTCTTATATTCCCATTTTTAAAAAAGCTACTGGTTTTTCTGTTGGAAGTGCAGAGCCTCACTTTGCTAGAGTGTAAAATTATGTGAGAGTACAAAACTTTTCATTTTAAGAAACCTCTGTTTTAGAACCTTAAGCTGGTTTTAGCCACTGGCATCTAATTCCATTGGAGCACTTGCTGTCTGTAGGTTGTTCCAAATGCTTTGAGAAGCCTTACAAAGCCTTTCTACTACAACAGAAATTGCAGATAATCATGCTTCTTCAGAAATGCTCCTCAACAAATACTAGACTGAGGTGCCCCTGAAGTATCTTTAATGCAGAAACTACAAAAACTGAAATAGCGCATGGCTGTTCCCAAGCTGTCCCATTGAATATTTTTCATTTCTTGAAGATTAGTTGCTTCATCAATGTTCATGTTTAAAAAAAAATAAAAATTAAGATGCAAATCAGATTCTACCTTCAATTGAAAAATAACAAAGTATTTTCAAGATTAAAGTGACAGATTTCTAATTGTAAAATAATAGTAACATTCTGTTGAAGATAGGTTTTGTGAGAAATTACTGTACTGATATTGAGGTAAAAGATTTTGGATTCAAATGACAGCATCTATGTTTTTGAAGTAGGAGTGCAGTAATTTTGGCAGGTACAAAGTATTTCAGTTTCTCAAACTCAAAATGGCTGCCTTAAGAACAGTAATGTGCATCCCACTGCTCATGCTCTTCACACATTTCACTCATCTCTCAGGTTGCAAGGGACCCTGGGAGGCCTCTAGTCCAACTGCATGCTCAAAACAATCAAAACTGAATTCAAAGCAGGTTGCTTAGGGCTTTGTCAGGTGGGTGTTGAAACCCACTTTGGATGGAGAGTGCACAGTCTCTGAACAACCTGCTTTAATTCTTAACTAGCCTTCTAGCAATTATTTTGCCTTTGTATTGAAACACAAGCTTGTGTTTTCTGTTACAATCAATGTCTCTTCTTCTACCATGCACTTTGGTGAAGAACCAGTTCTGTTATCTTCAGGTATAAGCTATCTTGATGCCTATTGACTGAATCTACTCATGAGTGTCCTGTACTGATGGAGTGAGGTGGCAAGTGTGGAACAGGACAGGTGCAGCCTTAACAGGGCTCACGTGAGAATTGGTTCCCGTGATGTACAGGCCGTGCTCTCGTCAGTGCAGCCTCGAGTGGCGTGAGCCTTCAACGCTGCTCGTTCCTGTTTAGCCTCCCCTGTGTCAGGACCCCCATGTCCTCTTCAGCAGTATTGCCATCCGGCCTGTCAATCCCCACCATACAAACAAGTTCTGTGCTATAGCACTGGTCTCTGCTTCTGGCCGAGAGGGACGTTTGTGAAGCAGAGAAGTCACAGAACTGTCTGACCTCTGACAGACTTGTCACGTGCTTTCTTTACGCTACGTTCATGTTTCTTCCTGGTAGTCTGGTTCCCCTGAGCTGTAAGGAGCACTTGAGGACCAGGGGAGGCTGGTGCAGAGCTGCAAAGGAAGTGTTTCTGAAAGGCTGCAGATCTTGCACCCTTTCACGAGAATAACGAAAGGTAACAACACAGTTTTCCCAGACTCATTTTAGGAACTGGCAAAGGGCATGTCTATTCATGGTTTTTTTCACCACCAGCACCTTCCACAGACTCTCATCTGGTGTTTGGGAAGGCTGCTGCCTGAAACTGTGAAACCATGATTTTGTCATTTGACCTAAATACATTCACCTAAAGGTCTAATGTGTTGAAGTCGTCAGAAAAACAGCTGAGGTCATTGACTTGGCTTTCTGAATGTTCAAAACAACTAACATTAAGTATCATCTTATAATTTCAGGTGACCCAATGGCTTATCTGTGCAGACCCAAAAGCATATAATTTCTTACTCTAATATGAAATTTATAGTCACTTGTGGAAGCAGAGCTTTTTTCCTGTGGTGACAGTGGAGAGAAATTGTTGGGTTTAGTTTTGGTTTTCTGTGTTTTATTTTCTTAGTGACTAAAATTGATAGCTGTTTTGGAAACTTTGTGGCAGCTAATCTGATCGTATTGCAGGATGTTTTTAGGGATAATATTTCTAAATATCACAAGAATCTCTATCAAGTTTTCTGTATACAGGTATATAGTAAAAATTTATTCCAGATACATGCTACTGTCCAGTATCTAATATTTGGCATAACCTGGTTTAGCTTACATCATGAATTATGCTGTGCAAGTGTGGAACTTTGTTTTGCTTGCCTTTACACAAGCAAGTTCTTCATGAAACAACTGCAGCCTATAAGAATGTGAAGAAAATGCAGAAAAACTAACTTTAGTGCACGTAGTTAGAACCAAGGTTTACATCTATAGCATATACACATATTCCTAATAGGGATCTTTTGATATACATTAAAAGGCTGGAGCTTTTACATGCTGTTAATGTCTGATATGACGTCTAGCATAATTATGACTCTTGTGATCTTACTTCAACCCCATTTTTATTCTCACCTTTTGAACAAGCCCATGGTAAGTACAGAGATACCTTCCTCCCCAAATGGACAAGTAAAAATCTTTTTATTTATCAGTGAATATTGTTTCAGATTTCTGAAACATCAAATGCATCTGTGCCAAGAAGCTCTCAAGGCTTTTTCTTCTTTCTGCTTTCTAGGTCTCTGTTACTGTGAAAAGTCACCTACAAAATAGCACTCGGTGCATTTTCATTTTTTTTAAGCTTCCAGAGTGATATTAGGAAGCTTCTGTTAATGCATTTTTAATGTTTTCCTGCATCCTTAGCATTTTTATCTTAATATTCTTAGACTGTCAAACTGACCCTGAGGTGTTTGCTCCTAGAAACTGGCCAAAGTGAAATTCTAAAAAACAAAAGAAAACCCAATCACCAAACCGGAAACAAAAAAAAACACAAACAAAACCTTGGGATTGTCTTTAGTAAGTTGCAGTTATTTTCACTAACTTAACAAGAGACTTGCCAGACTTCAGAGCTTTGGGTTTTACTTTTGAATAGCTTGAATGAATGGCTATAATAGTCAATGACTTCACATTGCCATTCATTTTAAATTAAAATGTTATCATATCTGTCCATGATGTGACAATCATTTTTGTCTCATTTGATATTCTCTTGAAATGGAAAAAAAAAAATATATTTATGCTGGACAAATATGTTTCTCTTGTATTTCTTGATCTGGAATCCCATTGGGTCTGAACTAGATAATGAAAAGGCTGTCTTGTGGTATAGAGAGATCTAAACATATTCTCTGTTTGGTGTGTGTTTTGGTGGGTTTTGGGTTTTTTTTGGTTTTTTTTCTGTGGCAGTATGAGACTGGCAATATTCATTTGGGGACCCTGCTGTTTGGGATTGGGGGAGGGCTTTTCTCAAGGGAGCACTTAAGTGATAAGGGAAAGAATAGAGCTGTAGAAGTAAGAGGTGAAAGCCAAAAGTGCTGTTAGAACAAATAGGCCACTCTAGAAAACTTAACTATAAACCATCCTAGTGGGGATATTAAAGGTGCAGTAAATAGGCTGGAGGAATCTGTCATTAGTGATTCTAGGTACCTTGAATGTTAAGCCTTAAAACTGAAATATCCTGAGAACGGAAGGAGAATTTTGGAAAATCCCAAGTATAATTTAAGATGCTCTTTCAGTGTCTCTGCTTGGGCAGCCAGAAGTGGGAAATCACTTTCTTCTGATCCCAGCAGAGTTTCAAAGTGTTACTTCTAGATCTAGCACTTAACTTAATCCATTAAGAGTTCAAAGAGACATTTCTTGGAAATGTGGAGTTTTTTACTGCTGGTCTCTTCATCCCTGATTAACTGTTAACTTCTGCTTTTTCTAACAGATCAAATGTCTAAAAGGCCAGAGAGACTTCTCAGACCAACCCACTTTTGATGGGATTCACATTGTCAGCCATTTCACAGGAGATGATGAATCATTTCATTCTTCTGATGAAGATTTTATAACTAACTCCATACAGGAGAGTGGGGTGAACTTTCATCTGCACAGGAGGACTGGTCAGATAGCTTTGGGTCACACAGTTATAGATAGCAGTGACAGTGATACTGAGGAAAGTGCCCTTCAGAGTGGGAATCCAGACAAGATGGTTTCCAAGCAGAGAAGAATGGAATCTTACTCTACTACCGTGTGATGATCACTGTGACTAGCGTTGAAGACTTTCATATTTCTTTAAGGGTGAAATTGTCACTGAAACTGAAACTGCCCAGCACTTGCTTTAGATTGCTATTGGATCTGGCCTGGCCTGGGATAAATAACATGTACTGTCTATCTGCCTTCTCTCTTTGCCAAATCTTACTAATGACATACCATTGCCATAAACACAGGCTGGGAAGAAGTTGATGGATGACAGTTCTGACAGTATTACTGAATGTTCCTTGGTTTAGAAACTGCAAATATACCATTTATTTAATGCATAAGAACCATTTTTCCTGTTCACAAAGGAATTATTTTCCTCAAAAGAAATTGCTCTTGTGCAATATTTTATGCTCTGAACAAATGTGTATGTTTTACATTGTTACCCATTTGTGATCAAGATGGACCCTAGTAAACCATCTGATCATGACACACACATATATATATATATATCTATAATTATCTTATGCTTCTTGATTAATTTTGGTTTTACTAAAGTTATTGGATGCCCACAGAAGGCTTGAAAGAGGAGCCTTTACCTGTACTACTTCATATATGCAAATAATGGTCACTAATGTCATAAAGGTGTTTTTCACAGTTTTCACTTAAAACTATGTGCATCTGCTTTTGATGTTGCTAAATAATACCTGGTCTGAATATATTAATTACAATAATGTTTATTTTGTACATATTTATATATCTACACCAAGCTGAAAATGTACATTATACCATTTTATATGGGGAATGTAAATGTTGCAATATTACTGTCTCTGGTATTCTAGCAGGAAAATGAATTCTGTATATACACACTAAAAATCAATTACTAAATAAAGGCAAAACACTAACTTTACGTTAAGTGTCGGCCTAGCTACACTAATAGGTTCATGTTGGAAATGCTTGTTCAAAACACTGTTGACTGAAATCTTTTACCTTCATATATATGTAATGAAAATAAATTTTTCATGATTTAACAAGGTTGCAGCATTTACTGTTTACTCACTTCTAAGCTACACCCCTTGGTTGCCGCATAGTTACTTGCTGGCTCTAGATTAGAGTGGTATTCAAATAAGCTGAAAAATTATTCATGTCTTAGTGTAATAAAGGCATGGTCAGTGCAGTAAAAATATGTAACTTCAGTCGTCTTACAGGTTTTTTTATATTGCAGAGCTACCTAGGAAATAAGCTATTGGCTGTGTCACCAGCTGGCTGTGATGCACCCGAGCACTGAGAGTTGAGCTTTCTGCCTTCACACTCCCTCCTGAAAACAGCTACAGAAACATGGCCCAAGCCTCTTCAACAGAACAGGATATTCTGATATTGTCAACGAACACTCACTTGCCCTCTCAGCCACATTCTTGTCAAGAATATTCTTAATGGCAGCTACTATTGCCATCTTAGATCATTAAACAATTCTTAAGACTTTTTTAGCAATGTTTGCAACTGTTTGATTAATAAAGAAGGCAGGCACAAGTTGGTACTGGTAGTGAGCACGTGTTAACCATCTTGCTGCTCTCGCAAAGCAGTGTAGCTGTTCAGAATTGCAGAAGTGTGGTAGTGTGCTGCTGAAGGCATCTTTGCTGTTATTCTGAATGTGTCCTCGGAAAGAAACAGTACAGCTGAAGATAATGAACGTTCAGAGAGTGATGAAGAGGGCTGGATGGAAGAAGCACATTCTGGGCAAGAGTATTGTCTGCCGAGGTGCAATTTAATTTACTTCTTAAAGGAGGTGGATTACAAATTCCCAGTTACTGATTTATGCAGCTCCCAACTTGCTTTGGTATTTCTGCAGACTTTCCCAACATCCTACCAGTGAATGCATAGTTCCTGGTACAGCCTGTGGAAATTGCCGTCTCTGAGATAGATTAGCTGACCAGTTCTGGTCCCTGTTGGAAATTTCATGTATGCAAACCCAAATCAGGAGCACTTCTGTTCAATAACAAGTAACAGTTGCCTCTCTCCCAATAAGCATCTGGTAACTTACGGTTGCACCTGGATAACTGTTGCCCAAGAGGATAGGTGACAAATGCCTTGTTGCCTGTCATCAATACCAGCTGCAAGTCTCTTTTAAAGGTAATGTTCTGCAATACGTGGCAGGAGCAAAATTCAGTTGGAGTGCCATAAAAATCCTGTCTGTTTGAATAGTGAAGTGTTATGATTTTGCAATAACTGCCTTACTGTTCAAGTGATAGCAAATGAGATTAGGTGGTGAGGGTTATTTCCTGAATTTTGTAGTTTTAAAGTATACTAATAGAATAAATACTGATACTAAATGTCAGCATAAATAATATCAAGGGGAAAGCAGACATCTTTATCCAACTAACTGTACCTCTTCTAGTGAGGAAAGTGAATCTCTGGACATGCTGCAGTTTCAGAAGGCTTGCTTATTATGCACAGAATATCCTTGGAAGACATCCCAAAAGAAGGCTGTTCAGAATCATCCTGCTTTATTTGCAGCTGTTCTCCCCCAAAATTATACTAATCTCTTTGCCTATGTGTATAACAATTTGAATATGCACCAGAATAATGTCAAATCATCAACAGCATAGATAATGTATTTACTAATGTGTAATAAGTAAAGCATCCTAGTTATGCTACACACCATGACCTTGCTTGCATGGCCTTGTAACAAACATTGCTGTTTCTGTTTTGCTCTGACATGCAGGCTGTAAGAGCTCAGTGTGAATGCTAAAAGCATAAGCTAAAAAACAGCATGTAAACATGAAAACTTCAGATTCTTAGATATGCAAATGCTGCAGCTGAAAAGATGAATGAAATAGGGAAGGGGGATGCCCTGCTATGTACAGAATTTCCATGTAAAACACGTTTTATATTTGGTAGTGAAAATGGTTCTGCTTTCCCAGTCTGATAATCAAAAATCTTCACTAGCTAGAGAAGCCTCTATATTTACATTTTCTTATTTCTCCAGGCTGAAGGAGTGAATATTTTGCATCTTAATAGCATTTACAATTAGACCTGTTTTTACTCAATTCATTTGTGTATTAGAAGTTCCTAACATTTTTGAAAAATTTGGAATATAAGTAGTTGGAAGAAAGTACATCTGTAAAGTCAGGAAGTGTGTACTACATTCACAGCTCTACAACTCTTTGTCCATCTTGGTCACAGTTTTTTGAACAAAATGCAGGCCTCATTTACATACCTATTCACAAAGTAGTACTTTCTACTAAATTAATTTTTCAACCGTAGGCACCTTTTCCTATATTATTTTAACTTTCAAAAATTGCTATGAAAGTGATTAAAGGAAGTATCCACATAGAGATCTGCATAAATTTAACAAAGCCACTTTGTAAATCTCATACAATGTGTTTAATTATGCACCAGCTACTGATTCTAAGTGTATTGAGAGGGAAGAGGAAAGCTATGTATCAACTAACAGCTTTCTGGAATTAATGAAGTTTATTTTCATTCTGTGAAACATTTTTATCAGTATAAATGTACCAATATATTTTTAAAATTCTCGGAGGATGTTGATTGTTTTGTGTTTGGTTTTTTTTTTTTTAGAAACTATCTCAAGACGAGAAAAACTGGTGAGTTACATTTATGCAGTAGCCTGTAGAACTAGAGATTCTGAATGATGGAATAAAAAGCACGTGGTAAACTGACTTTCAACATAACCTCTGTAGAGGATAAAGTTTTAGCTTCAAAGTGGAGAAAACCTATGCATCTGTGGACACAGACTAAGATACAACCGTTAGCTCCAAGATGCAACAGCTTAGCACCTTCCCTTTCCAGGAATTAATACATAATTTCACAATTATGAAAAACAAAATAAATAGAATTGTATAAATGTTGCATAAATTACTAAAGTTTCTAGCATCCCGCTATGAGACTAAAATTCCTGAGACCATTTTGCATAGCCTACATTCTGTAACCCATTGATCCAAATTTCTTCTATTCACAATGGAGATAAATTCTGGATCCCAAAGCTGGAATCCCTCTTTTCATCCCAGCTTTCAACACCACAACCTACCACCACATTCCCTCTCCAGTTTATGCTCAGAGGAATCATAAATTTTCTAATCTACTCTGAGAGTAGATGAAGTTACTTTGGTTTCCCCAGTGATAAAAAAAATTCCTACCAAAATCATTGATAAATGTCCAACATATTTACAGCATGTATATGCCACAAGGAGAAACGTAAAGTAGCACAAGATGCTGGGGAGGGGTGGGGGGAGGAAATAAACATTAAGCAGGATATGTTAAAAACAAATAATTCACAAAAAATTATAAAAACTATATAAAGACACAGTTCCCAAAACAATGCATAGTGCTGCAAGTTCTAGCAACTTCTCACAGTGAAAGTGTTCTGGATAACTATGATCTTGGGTTTTATTCCTTTAAAGTATGTATGATACTCACGAGTTCCCCACAGAATCACCCCCTTTGCTGGCTTCTCCCAATCCTGACTTCCACACAAAAGAAATCGTCTCTCCTGCCCTATGTACCAAGCAGCTAACCTGTCAAATCCTGTTCTTCAAATCCTTCCTGCTGTTACAGTCCTTCCTCTCATCACTTCTGAGCATGAAGATCTCATCTGCATCTCATCACCTTTGGTGCCTTATGTCTTCTTAGCTCTAAAGGTGACATCAGGCAGCTGCTGTGAACAGTGCAGTAAATTACATTGTCTTAAGCGTGACTATAACGTGGTCCGAACTAGTTTAACACACACACACCCCTTTTGTTTATTTCTTCCCCTCTTTTGTCACTGTGGGGTACTGATCATGTACTTATCATGGCATTCAACTGCATCTTACCAAGTTTGTGTATTTTAACTCTGAACACCACACTCCCCATAGAGGAAGGATTAGAGCAGCTCTGTTAAAAATCAGCCTCCGCCACCTAGCTTCATACAAAATACATCCCTCCGCCAGCTCAGAACCGTTGGCTTTTGGCTTTTTCACACTGGGATACAGAATACTTGGTATTGGCACACAGCTCTTGCAGTGTCATAGACCATCTTAAGCTTACAGACACATCTTA